GGAATCTGTCATATACACTATATAGTATACACAAAGATCAAAGTATACTATTTGGCATTACAATAAACATCATTTATAAATATAAAGGCTGAGTCAAATGTAAGCCTTCTATAAAACTAATGTTGTTTTAATTCAAATATTGTCGCAGCAAATTGAAATTTTAAGCCGGAACATGTGCTCAAAATTCACGAAGGAAGATAGTAAATATTTCCTTTCAAAATTGCTCTATTTATATATAAAACATAACAAAATTCTTACCTGGATGTTACCCAGTCATCCCTGATGTTTTATCTTTAAAATAAATAACACTTTCGCTCAATAAAAGCTCAGCTGTATTTGAGCCATTTCGCGCGGAAATTTAAACTAAAAAAAATTTTTAATATGGCGGTGTGAATTGTGACGCTATCCCAGAAAGCTTTGTGCGCGTTGTAAGAAAATTAGGCACCAGTCTGTCAAACCGCGCTCGTCGTGAGAATTTTTGGTGGTATTCATGGTGTTTTGTCAAAAATGCTGTTTTGTCAAGAGACAAAATACCTACCTCCACAAAGTCCACAAAGACTATAAATATTTTTGTAAATATAATTTCAATGAACTGATGAAAAATTTAAAATTAATTAACTCAAACTGGGAAATTTTGACCAGTTAAATAACTATACATTTACCCTTTCTAAATTCTCACAACTTTCTGTTTGAATAGGAAATAAATAGCTTTTAAGATCTAATTATTTTGCTGTTTATTAGCTATTTTAACAATAGCTGTAAAAATAAAAGTAAACATAGTTTAAAAATAGCTATTTAATAGCCATTTTTAACAAAATTCGCCACAACTTTCTATGAATAGGAATTAAATAGCTATTTACGATCTATTTATTTTGCTATTTAATAACTATTCTAAGAATGGCTCTAAAAATTCAAAAAATAAAAGCAAACATATTTAAAAATAGCTATTTAATAGCTATTTGGAACAAAGTTCGCCACAACTTTCTATGAATAGGAATTAAATAGCTATTTAAGATCTATTTATTTTCCTATTTAATAACTATGTTAAGAATGGCTCCAAAGAAGATAAGCAAAGAGAGTTTAAAAATAGCTATTTAAAACTATTTTAAATGACTCGTCTGTCATCAATAGGAATTAAATAGCTATTTAAAAGCTATTTTATAGTGAGATTCCGTCAATTACTCTTTCAAATAGGATTTGAATATCTATTTCAAAGCTATTTTTTTGAAAAATATAAATAACCTATATTTTAAATAGGGTGTAAATAGTCATATACTATTTTATGAAATTTGATAAATAGTAATAAAATAGTCATATTTTTGAAAAAATACGGAAAAAATAGGGCTAAATAGAGAAAAAATAGGTATAAAATAGGTTATAAATATGTCGGATTCTACAAGGGGAAGCTACGGACATAGAATTTAATAAAATCTAAAATTGACTAACACAAAACCAAATGAGGTGTCTATGAAGAGAAAACTCGGGTACCACACTGAAATAACCATGTATGTTCAATTAGTACGAAGGAAAACTAGAATTTATTTATGCAGTATACTTTTCCAATAAATTAGACTTACGAGATGCTGTTGGAACATGCTTTCCGCATAGATTATTTGAATTTCCCTTCACATGTCAGGATTAATCGCGTTTCTGGTCTTCAGTTGTTTTTTGCGACCGGAATGCAGCGGGTACTGGCATGTGCGAAGTGAACGCCAATTTCTCCCCGGGCGTTGTGAAAACCCGGAATGCCGGAATATCACGGAATATGGCGGAATATGCCGGAATATCACGGAATATGCCGGAATATCACGGAATATGGCGGAATATCACGGAATATCATGACTTTTCCCAGAATATACCTGGACATCACGATATTTTTCGATGGTAGCCATGCGACTGTTTATAAACATAGACGTCGGACAACATATTTTGATTACAAAAGTGATGGATCTTTCCCATTTTGACGGTAAGTAACAAACAATAACTCTATACTGGAAGTTTTATATGCTGTTTATTATTATTATTACTAGTGTTCACCAAAAATTTTGAATCAATATGATTTTAAAATTCCTCCTGAGTTACAGCGTCTTGAAAAATAAAAGTTCCGACGTCAGCATTATTTTCGAACGCCTTTAGAAGTGTGTTATACCATGGATAATAAAATAAATGGATAGGACTCTCGCTGACGTAAGCAAAATTTTTGGCATTTTTGGCATTTTTGTTGTTTCGCTATACTTTCCGCTTTAAAAGAGTAATATTGAAGCATATACCATAGGTAGCCCAGACACACTGTGCGATTTAAATTTAAATGCTTGGCATACTTAATTACCCCCTGCGGTATCGATTTCAAAATAATAATGTTAACGATCAGCTCAAAAATATTCCGAATTTTTACACTAAAATGTATCACTAATCAAGCTTATCGTTAAAGGAAATATACTTAGGTACATAGCATGCGCATGCATCAACATAAATAGTTTATACCTTTAGTAGACACACTTGAAATCCAGCTTTAAAATCATGACATTCACGGCGACGCGGCGGAGGAGGGGAAAGGAGACAAGATTGGCAACATCCATTGGCCAAAATTTACGATGTGACTGGGCGCAAGGTAAACAAGGTTCACGGACGGTAAATTTTAAATTTAAATCGCGCGCCTAATTGGATAAAGCGTAATTCAATCAAGTGACGTCTCGCAAGGTCGTACCGCTTTATCCAAAAAGGCGCGAGATTTAAATTTAAAATTTACCGTCCGTGAACCTTGTTTACCTTGCGCCCAGTCACATCGTAAATGTTGTATGGAGGCTGTTATGGAAAGCCATAGCTGTCTTAAGTGATCAAACGGCATTTTGTTGGGTGCTTTTCGCATTATACGCGGTGCTTTCACCATTATACGCGGTGGTTCTAGCATTATACGCGGTGCTTTGTCCATTATACGCGGTGCTTTCAACATTATACGCGGTGGTTCTAGCATT